TGTGAAGCTCCTGAATCAACTATTAGAGGCTTATTCTTAAGAGTATATGAAGAACTATAAGAATTACCCAAGTTTTTAACTACATGAAAAGAGGTACCAAGAGTGTTACCAGATTCTTTAAGTGCTTTGATCAAGGCGTCTTACTCTGTTTTCTTCACGAATTGGGATGAGTTAGCTATTCCTTCCTCACAAACGTTTTTCTCAGAAGACTCTCCCTTGTGAATCCCCTCTTCATTCGCATAGTTAGCTCTTGGTTCCTTCCATTTGCTCGGTTTGAGATGTGGATGAAGGATCCAGCAATTTTCTTTCTTATGCCCTTTCTTCTTGCAATGATCGCAGAACAGGCTCCTCTTTTCATCAAACTTGTAAGCCCCCTTATTTGCCGAAACGAGCTCCCCCTTTCCTCCAAATAAGCCAAGCGATCCTTGCTCCTTTTGGATTTGAGAACACACTTCTTCAAGGGTTGGCAACCGTTCTGCTCTTCCTTACCTTGACAGGATTCAGGAGCCTCGGAAGATCACACCTTAGAGACTAGTTACCCCTTCCCCAAAGCCATGGAAGTTTGGGGGATTAGTTAAGCCATTCGTTTGAAATCTGTTTTCCTTGCCTTTCGACCTTTCTTTCCACCAAAAGCCATGGGTTTGGAGGAGAGGATGAAAGAGTGATCTATACCGAAAGCCACGGATAGATCTTGTTTTGTTTTCAAGGCTTAGAGATCCTCACCAAGTGAGTCGATCTAAAGTTTTTAAAACCAAGGTCAAACCTTTGAAACCCCTAACCATGAATCTCAACCCTAGACCCTTCCTTTTAGCATCTTTACATCTATTCTCATCATTCGCTTGTTATCTGATAGCATCCTGGTCATTAGCTTTACTGTTCTTACGATTTTAGACGAGATCGATTGTTACTGCTCGATCTAGTGGTCGATCTCGTTGTCGATCCACTAGTCGAATTTTAATAATTCGAAGCTTTCTCCTTTAATTAATCTGTTTGTTTCTCGTGGTAGTACCTTCCTTTCTAGTATTTTTAAAATAGATTTCATTCTGTTTAAGTTGCTGCATCTAGTTTTCAGAGATTTTATCTTAAACTGTCTCATTTTGCTTAGATTTGCTATAGTCCTTGCATTCTCTGGGCATTCTCTATCTCCTAGAAGTGGATTGACTCTCTCTTGCTTGCTATACTACAACATTGCTTGCATTAGAGTTTGATAACCTCTCTGCATCATAACCCTCGCTAGAATCCGTTTATCACTCACCTAATAAGTTTTCAAGCGATGAGGAGGTGCAGCAGCCGGATAAGAGGAGAAGATCGACTGGTGGGATAGAGATCCGTGAGCCCCAAGCAACGAACCAACCTGTGCGCCACTCTCTCCATGAGGAAACGAGCAAGGAGAAAGGCAAGGAGATCAGCCACGACACTCCTAAGAAGAGCAAGAAGTCTAGAGCAACCTCAAGTTCCAGCCTTACGTAGCTCCGAGGTACCAACAACCAATCCTTGTAAATACCATGCATATTTTTAGATTTTTGCATTGTGTTTTGACTCCTCTTGGATTTGTTTGCCCCCGAGATAATGTCATATAAGTTTGGGGGAGTGTGTGGTGTGTTTGACATGTTTTCTTTCATCTTATTTTCTGTTATCATCCATTGAGTCATCATGCATCATGTAAGGCATAGAAAACACTAAAAAATGATAAAAATTTTAAAAATTTTCAAAAATATTCATGTAGTTACATTTGAATTGTCAAATATTTTAGGATTGAGTCTAGATTTTTTAAGCATTTAGGTTGTTTACATTTGCATAAGGGGCAAAAGTTTTTCTTAAAAAAGTGTTTTAAGTTCATGAATTGTTTCAAGGCCCTAGTTAGTAGTTCTTTGATGCATTGTTCGTACTTTGAAAGTAAGCTCTAACCATATTTGGATCATTTGTTTTGATTTTCGTGGCTTAAGTGAACATTCATGAATTAAATCCTTTCCTAATAAGTGAGAACCTTAATTTGAACTTCTAATTATCATACTTATGCATTTGAAAAAGGATACATGGATTACTTATACATATTTAGTCTTTCTTCTTCCTTTCACCACTCTCTTGTAAGCCTAAATAGACTTCCCCACCTTTACCTTACCCTTCTTTCAAACCAATGTTCTTGTGTGATAAATCTTTGTGAGGCCTCTTTTCGGTTGAACTTAGCATATAGTGTTAGGTTTAGGCGACATGATTAGGTTTTCATATTGATGCTAGCTTGCATTTTGAAGCTAGTATTAGGCTTAGGATATGGCGGGTATTCATGAGAATTGCTTTGTTTTGCTTCGGTTTAAAGAGTTGAAGTTTGGAAGTTGAATAAAAGGGTTTTAATAGTTTTAAGTGGAAGGCTTATTGTTTTAAAATGAAAAGCTCTAGTTTAAAAAAGAAGATACTTTCAAAAGAAAAGAAAAAGAAAAGAAAAGAGCCAAAATGCCAAATGTTTTAAAAAGAAAAGAAAAAAATGAGTAGAGAGCTATCAAAATAAAAAAAAAAGAGCTAAGTATATTTTCAGCCTTACCACTAGCCAAAAGGATTTTAAAATGATGCTTTTATTTGAGTTTTTGCTAGGCAGATTGCCTTGATGATGAGGGTAATCTTTAGGAGGGTGGGTGAGCTTAAAAAGAAAAGAAAAATGAGAGAGGGTTCTAGGACCATTGTTAGTATGTATGGGTAGATGAGAGTCTAGTCATGTATGCATCAATTGTCTTTACCTTTAGCATTATGCATAAGTTCGACCATTCTTTGAGATAACCCATTGTTTGAATCGCCCTTATAAGTGAGATTATTTTAACTCATAACCCTTGCCCTTAGCTAAATGTATCCATTTTAAAGTGCTTAAGTGTGATTCACGGTTTTGAGCTTAATGAATGATAAAGGTTAGGATTCTTGGATTGTTTGGGATATAAGAGTCATGATTTGAGATTCAATATGTGATGAGTATGGCTAAGTTCTTTGGAGTATGAGTGTGTACATTGCATCTTAGGATTAAGAACTAGGATCATTGAATTGATTCATGTGAAAAACACTTTTGCAAGGAATTTGAGCCCCCGTTTTAAAACCTCTCTCCCTTCTTTTAATTTTGTTTGCTTGAGGGCAAGCAAAAGGCAAGTTTGGGGGAGTTGATATTACCATATATTTTGCATATTTTGCATGCATTTAGGATAGTTTTTCATGCATTCATCTTGCATTATAGGCTAGTTTCATCCATTTGTTGCATTTTAGGTCCTAAGTCTCTTTGCATTCGCATATTGCATATTTCTTTCACTTTTGCATCATTATCAGGTTGTTTGGAGCGCTCTGGAGTTGTGGAGGTTATGTGGACGTGAGGAGGATCAAAACGAAGCTTGTGGACACTTGGAGAACTCAGCCATGCATGCAAAGGACCCGAGATCGAGTAGCAGATCGAGCAAGGTAGGTCGATCTAGACGAGATCGACCAAAATATTGAGTGACCCAAGTCGATTCAAAAGGAAAGATCGAAACCACGATCGACAGAGGAGATCGATACGTAAATGACGCCATGCAGAACGAGAGCCGGATCGAGACCATGACTCGATCATCCAAGGACCGAGTAGAAGATCGAACAAACTACTCGATCCATCCAACCATATCGGCTTGTAGATCAAGCAGAAAAAGGCGATCCCTGAAGACGATCGAGTGAACTGATCGATCTCAAGATCAATCTCGGGTACTTTACCAATTTTTGGAGCGTAGTGGTGGGGGGGGGGGGGGGGGGGGGGGGGGGGGGGGGGGGGGGGGGGGGGGGACCATTCCAACTGTTTAGCTATTTCGGGATAAGGCGGCCATCACTTTCGGGACACAATTTTCAGTCTTATCTTTTCTGTTCTTCGTTTTGGGGGCGATTAGCCATTGTTGAACCTTAAACTTTTCTTGTTTTTGAGCACTTTGAATTTTTTCATTATTAAGTCTTTTCCTTTAATCAATCGCTTAATCATGCTTAGTTTATCTTTCATTGCATTTCCTTCGGTTTCAATCATGAGTAGGGAGTAGTTTTTCTTTGGGTAAAGGGTTGAGGCGATTCAAGGGTTTACGAGGTTAAAGTTTTGTGTTTTTCTTGTTCTTCATTCCTTCTCTTCTAGGATCTTGGGGTCTTAAGGCTTAGAGAGTCTTGGAAAAGATCTCTATGATTCCAGGGCTTTCTTACCTTGACAGGATTCAGAAATCCTTGAAAACCAAGTCCTAGAGACTAATCGACTCTCTCCCAAACGCCATGGATGTAGAGGAGGTTAGTTAGGCTATTAGTTGAAATCTGTTTTTCTTGCTCTTTGATCTCTTTTTCCACCAAACGCCATGGGTTTGGAGAAGAGATTGAGGAAGTGAATCATACCACACGCCATGGATGGTTCTTGTTTTGTTTTCAAGGCTTAGAGAAAGCTCATCAATGAGTAGATCTATCTGTTTTCAAACCAAAGCTTGACCCTTGAACACTCTTGAATATGACCCTCGACCCTGAACCCTCTTTTAGCATTTTAAAACCTCTGTTTATCATTCTCTTGTCATAAAGCTTGCATCTTTTTTCATTAAAAGTCATTTGCTTTAAGTTGTTAGATCGGTCTGTTTTACTCGATTCAGTGCTCGATTTTTAGTTCTTAGTAGATTTGCATCTTTAATCTTCTGTTTTTTTCCTAGTAGTAGTTAACCCTTTTCCAGGGATTTTAAAATAGTTTTGCATTTTATTTGGTCATTGCATTTAGTTTTCATCGATTTTATCAATCATATTCCCGATTTTCTTAGATTTGCTTTACCCTTGCATTCCTAGTGTTCTTCCTGTTTCCTAGGTTGGATTGATTCCTCATGCACACTATACTACATCCATAGGTTATTTGAGTTTTGATATTCTGACTTGCTAAAATCCTGTTTATCAAGCTCTTCAGACCTTGCATCATCAAAGAAATTGTTGAGGAAGGTGTTCTTGGTGTCCTCCCAAGTAGTCAGCGATCCAGTCTCCAGCTGTTTCAGTCAGTAAACTGCATCTCCACTAAGAGAGTAAGGAAACAGCTTCCAGAACAAAAAATCATTACTGACTCCATTGGCCTTGATGCTCGTCGCCAAATCCTCAAACCTCTCTATGTGATCCATGGGATGCTCATGTGGAAGACCATGAAAGGGATGCTGACCCACATGTTGGTAGTAAGCAGGCTTCAGCCCGAAATCATTCCTCTGAAATGCAGGAGGGCGAATTGCAGCTCTATTTGCATAGAACTGATCAGGCCTGTTGTAATCTCTAAGGGTCCTCTGTTTAAAACGCCCAGCAGCAATCCCAGCGGTGTGTTGTGCATTATGCGCAACTGGTGGTACAACTTGTTCCTCAATCACAGCGCCATCATCAGCAAGTCGCTGTCCTTCTTCATTTCGCATGTTACCCTCTGCATCATACAGCAGACCATCTTCACCTTGAATCAGCACCAATGGAGCAACCATCTTAACAGGTTTGTTTGCTTTCCTGTTTGTTTGCTCCAAACGTGCTAGTGTCTGGTTGTCCAAGTCGATCAGCTCCTTTTCCTTGTTGCTTCGAGTAATTGGATTAGTCATGCACCTGAAACAGAAAAAAAAATATTAGTAACAAAAATAAAATCTTAGACAAGATTCTAAACCTAAATCAATAGGCAACGATTAAGTCCCTGACAACGGCGCCAAAATTTGCTATGCTCAAATTATCCCTGAGCTACTCTCTCAAATTAAGAGATCACTGTAGTACTTAGGGGTCGAATCCACAAGGACTTAGATTGTTGCACAATAGATTTCAGAGGGTTTCAATCAAAGAGAGAAACGTTAGGCCTTCGGAAATTCGTAGGTGAATCCGAATTGAAAATTTAGACAGAATGTTAGGAGTTATTAAGAACTGTTCTTGAACTTGAAAGATAATATAAAATCAGTCAACTTCCGCTGCAGAGATTATCTATGTCTAAATCCTAGAATCCCAAATTCCATTGCAAATCTTATCAATTCAAAAAATCATTAAAATCAGGTTCAATTGTTCACAAAATCTTAAACCAAATTCCTTTGCTGATAGGAATTTTGCTCATCAAAGACTAATTCTGGTGATTAATAATATTTCCGCATCTATTAATCAACCTAATATCAGATTCTAGGTCATGAAGTTAGAATAAGCAATAAACACAAATCAAGATGAAGAACTCTAATGATTTTATCCTACCTGGTTTTGTTGATTGTGTGGGTATGACTGATCAGGAACAAGCTGAGGGTCAACATCACCACGCTGCTGTTGGTAGGGGCAATGGAAACCCCAACCACGCAACAAGACCACCAAGGATCATCGGTGCTGGTGATGCTCCGAACACTCATCATAATAGCTTTGGAATAACTCCTCCACGGGTGCAAAACAACAACTTCGAGATGAAGCCAGGCTTTGTCTCAATGGTCCAGAACAACAAGTTCCATGATCTTGCAATAGAGGATCCTTTGGAGCATCTTGACAACTTTGAGCAAGTTTGTTGTATGATTAAGATCAATGGGATCTCGAAGGACCGCTTTAAGCTTAGACTTTTCCCTTTTTCTCTTGGGGATAAAGCAAGGCATTGGGAGAAGACCTTACCACAAAGTACTATTACCTCATGGGCTGATTACAAGAAGGCGTTTCTCTCTAAGTTCTTCTCCAGTACAAGAACATCAAGGCTAAGGAGTGAGATCAGCGGTTTCACACAAAGGCAGAATGAGAGCTTTAGTGAAGCAATGGAGCGGTTCAAGGACTACACCATTGAGATGCATGATGTCGATTTTCACTGACATAATTGAGAAGTTTATGGATAATTTCTCAGTCTATGGGTCTTCCTTCAAAAGCTGTCTGGAAAACTTTTGTGCAGTTCTGCAGAGATGTGAAGAGAAGCATTTGGTTCTTAATTGGGAGAAGTGTCATTTTATGGTACAAGATGGCATTGTTCTTGGTCACAGTCTCTGGAGATTTCATAGAAGTGGATAGAGCGAAAATTGAAGTAATGACAAGTCTGCAGGCGCCTGATACTGTGATATACTTACATATTTAGCATGCATTTAAGGTTAGTTTTCATGCATTCATCTCTCATTTTTGGCTTGTGTCCACCATTTGTCTCATTTTAGGTCCTAAGAGCACTTTTGCATTAGCATTTGCATATTTCTTGCATTTTTGCATCATATTCAGGTTGTTTTGGACACATTGGAGCCATGGAGAGTTCGTGGACATGCTAAGGATCAAAGAGGAGCTCGTGGACACTTGGGAGAAATCAGCCTTGCTACAAGGGAACCGAGATCGAGAGGCAGGTCGATCTAGATGAGATCGACCAGAAGATCAAGAGAAAGGGGTCGTTTCAAGAAGGAGGATCGAGATCAAGATCGACTAAGGTGATCGATCGAGAGTATGGACGTGGATTAAACCATGCAGAACAAGTGCCAGATCGAGACCACGACCCGATCATCCCGGGTTCGACCAGCAGATCGAGAGAAGCACTAGATCCACCCAACCGAATCGACCCGTCGATCGAGCAGAGGAGGACGATCCATGAAGAAGATCGAGCTAGAGATCGATCACCCAACTCGATCTCTAGCACCTTATCCGGCCAGCTCACATTTGGATTTTAGTGAGGGGACTATTTCTCTTGTTGGCCTATTTTGGGAAAATTTGTGTGAACCATTCGTTTTGTCTCGAACCCCGTGCTTTTCTTACTCTCGAAGGCGAATAGCCATTGTTACCTTTTTCTAGCTTTTCTTGTTTTTGAACCTTTGAATCTTGTTTAATCATTAAGTATTTCGTTAATCGCTCTTGCTTAATCATGTTTAGCTTTCTTTTCTTTACATTTCTATCGGTTTTAATCATGAGTAGTGAGTAGTTTCTCTTTGGGTTTAAGGTTGGGGAGATTAAAGGGGTTTAAGGGTTTAAGCTTTGGTCTTTTTCTTGTTCTTAATCTCTCTTCTTGGATTTGGGGTCTTAATGCTTAGAGAGTCTTGGAAAAGATCTCTATGATTCAAGGGCTATCTTACCTTGACCGGATTCAGAAATCCTTTAAAGCTAAATCCAAGAGACTTGCTCATCCTTTTCCAAACGCCATGGATGCTTAGGGAGCTAGTTAGGCCAATATTTGATATCTTTGCTTAATGTTCTTTGACCCATCTTTCCACTACACGTCATAGGTTAGGAGGAAGCGTTGAGGAAAGGGGTTATACCAAACGCCATGGATAATCCTAGCTTAAGTTTCCCAAGGCTTAGAGATAGCTCATTAAATGAGTAGATCTATGTTTTCAAACCCAAGGCTTGAATCTTTGACCCTCTTGAATTTGACCCTCAACCTTGAATCCTCTTTTAGCATTTTTAAACTTTGAGTAATCATCTTTTAGTTATAAAGCTTGCATCTTTGGTCTTTAAAAGTTATTGTTCTAAGCTGCTAGAAATTCTATAGTTACTTGCTTTAGCTCTCGATTTTTAGTAATTAGTAGTTTTACATTTTAAGTTCTCAGTTTTCTTCTAGTAACTGTTAACCCTCTTCCAGGGATTTTAAAATAGTTTTCATAGTGATTTGGTCATTGCGTTTAGTTTTTTATAAAATTTCGCATCCATTTACCCGATTTCACTTAGCTTTGTTTTGCTCTTGCATTCTTAGTGACTTTCATCAACCTATGCTGGATTGACACCCCTTCCCACTATTCTACATCCTTATCTTGGTCTGGGCTTTGATTCACAATCCCAAACAAAAATCTGTTTATCAAATGGCGCCGTTGCCAACTTAGGTTTGAGTAGAAAGCATTAGGATTTGGAGCTTAGTGAAGACTAAGTTTTTGTTTTTACTTTGGTTACTAATCTCTCTAGCTTACTACTTGTCTTCTCAGGTACATGAATCTGAGGTCTAGAGGTGCCAACAATCTACTACAACCTCTAGACAACATTCATCAACTCGGAAGTGCAAGACTAAGAAGAGAGAGAGAACAAACACTTGGCTTTGAGGAGCTACCTGGTTTTGTTGATTGTGTGGGTATGGCTGATCAGGAACAAGCTGAGGGTCAACATCACCACGCTGCTGTTGGTAGGGGCAATGGAAACCCCAACCACGCACCAAGACCACCAAGGATCATCGGTGCTGGTGATGCTCTGAACACGCATCATAATCGCTTTGGAATCACTCCTCCACCGGTGCAAAACAACAACTTCGAGATCAAGCCAGGCTTTGTCTCAATGGTCCAGAACAACAAGTTCCATGGTCTTGCAATGGAGGATCCTTTGGAGCATCTTAACAACTTTGAGCAAGTTTGTGGTATCTCGGAGGACAGCTTTAAGCTTAGAGTTTTCCCTTTTTCTCTAGGGGATAAAGCAAGGCATTGGGAGAAGACCTTACCTCATGTACTATTACCTCATGGCCTGATTGCAAGAAGGCGTTCCTCTCTAAGTTCTTCTCCAGTACAAGAACATCAAGGCTAAGGAGTGAGATCAGCGGTTTCACACAAAGGCAGAATGAGAGCTTTAGTGAAGCAATGGAGCGGTTCAAGGACTAGACCATTGCATGCCCTAATCATGAAAGAAATCAATAGAACAAATAAGGGAGTTCAAAATCCTCTCTGATGGAGAATGATTTAACTCACCAAAAACTCTCTAAAAATCTATCTGTAAAATAAAGCTTAGGTCTAAACATTGACCATAAAAATTATTTATTAGACCCAAAACATGATTTGGGGTTAAACTGCAAATATATAAAACTTCTGGGCAAACTTATAAGTCTTCAGAAATCTTCAAAAACTCGGGCAAGATTTGTGCACTTTTGGTGTCGATCGACACCTAGGCCCTAGTGTCAATCGACACGGGATTTGTACGCGCACTGCCCAATTTCTACTCGACAGTGTACAATTTTTGCACGACTTGATTTTTTCAGCAACATCTTCTGTTTTGCTCCAGAATACTCCAATATCTCAAAATAAGCTCAAAACATATCCAAACCTGTAAAGACTCAAAAAGACTCGAAAAATACTAAAAATACTCTATAAACAAGACTTATATCATGTTCGAAAATCAGTAAAAACCATGATATATCATAATGCTCTTATAACCTTCCGGAGATGCATGATGTCGAGTTTCACTGACATGATTGAGAAGTTTATGGTGGTTTTTATGGATGATTACTCAGTCTATGGGTCTTCCTTCAAAAGCTGTCTGGAAAACTTGTGTGCAGTTCTACAGAGATCTGAAGAGAAGCATTTGGTTCTTAATTGGGAGAAGTGTCATTTTATGGTACAAGATGGCATTGTTCTTGGTCACAGAGTCTTTGGAGATTGCATAGAAGTGGATAGAGCGAAAATGGAAGTGATGACAAGTCTGCATGCGCCTGATTCTGTGATATACTTGCATATTTAGCATGCATTTAAGGTTAGTTTTCATGCATTCATCTCTCATTTTAGGCTAGTGTACACCATTTGTCTCATTTAGGTCCTAAGAGAACTTTTGCATTAGCATTTGCATATTTCTTGCATTCTTGCATCATATTCAGGTTGTTTTGGACACATTGGAGCTATGGAGAGTTCGTGGACATGCTAAGGATCAAAGAGGAGCTCGTGGA